AGGTGCTCCTGGACTTTTGAACATTTCACAGGTGCGCCTACACAGGGCTTGGTTTTAGCCGATGTGTTTTTAATCGTTTGGTATTACCGTCTTTGTTTGCAAGCCACCTCCAAGCAGATCTCTGGGGAGGCCAGTGTTCCCTCTAAGCTGAGTTAGTGTGAGCCAGCTCACAGTTTTTTAGCCTCCGGCTCACATTTTTGTCTCGGCTCAGGAAGGAGGGCTCCAGAGCAAACTAATTGATGCAGCAGCCAAATCGCTCGCTCACAACTTTAATGCCAGTAGCTCACCAAGTAGGATTTCGCTGGAATCCACAGCTCGGAGGGGGTATTGGAGACAGCGTATTTAATTCCTTTTCATTTACATAATTTATAGTCCGCCTTTCTCACTGGAACTCGAGGCGGATTACACAAGAGTGAGTCAGCACGCTCAGCAAAATGGGACTTTCAATAAACAGTACATTCGGACTGTGGAATTCTGGAACCAGCCAGAAAGAACTAAAGCAGAGCGTAAGTATTCACATGAGACATCGAGCGGTGCAAACCTCACACAGTCGGATCCTGCTTACGGTAAGCTCTACCCAGCAGTACAGACCACAGCCCTTAATAATTTATCCACATAAGTTTGCGAAGCATTTTGTACAGAGCAACTTTACTGCGTCTGCAGGAAAGATGCAACATAACATCGTAGCAATGCTCCTGCCAAGCTGTGGAGTCCTGTGAGCAAAAATTCTGCTTGGTGAGCTACCGCCATTAAAGTTGTGCACGAGCGATTTGGCTGCTGCATAAATCAGTTTGCCCTGGAGCCATCCCTTCCTGAGCTGAGACAAAAATCTGTGCACCAGAGGCTAAAAAAACTGTGAGCTGGCTCACCGTAACTCAGCTTAGAGGGAACTCTGCATCGTAGGATCCCTACTTAAAGCAAGCTAGATGTAGTAGCCTAGACAACAGTCCCTAGGGTTACCAGGTCTGGGTTGGAAAATACCTGGAGACAGGGCTCTTTTTGTAGAAAAAGCCCAGCAGGAACTCATTAGCATAATAGGCCACACCCAACAGCAGGACCTCATTAGCCTATCAGGCCACACCCCTGACAGCACAGCTCATTAGCACATTAGGCCGCACCCCCATGTTGCCAGAAGTGTGCTCATCCAGCCACACCCACCTTTTGCTTCTTATTCTATTTACCTTGTTTGTGGTCAAAACCCAGGGCCTTTTTTTGTAGCAGAGACTCCTTTGCATGTTAGGCCACACACCCCTAATGTAGCCAATCCTAATGAGTTTCTGCTGTTGGGTGTGTCCTGTTATGCTAATGAGTTCCTGCCGGGCGTGGCCAACTCGGGAGCCAGCCGGAACTCCGTTCCTGTGCGTTCCTGGCCAAAACATTAGCTCCTGGCCCTACGTCCCAGCTCCCGTCCACCCAGCGGTTCGAAAGCCGGTTAAAGGGCAAGTAGATAAAATGGGGACCTGCTATTAGAGTGGGGGGGCACCCGTCCCTGCCGTAGCAGAGATGGCAGAGAACGGAGAATGGAGAGCGATGAACGGCGGTGGCGGCGGAGGAAAAATGGCGGCTGGCGAGGTGAGGAGGCGAGCGAAGGAGGCCGGACCAACAAGGTGCGGAGGCGGAGCGATGCGGCAGGCCGGAGCCTGACTTGGACGGAGGCCGCTGTGAGCATGCGCGGAAACACGGAGTGGTCCAGGCCTGGAGGCGGAGTTATGACAGCCGGGGGAAAAGCGGAACAGCTAAGACCTGCGCCGGAGGAGGGTCGCCGCCGGACTGTCCCCTCGCAAAATAAAGAAGATCTGCTACAACAGGATAAGGGTGCCTCGTAGGCTTCTCACGTTCCCCTACATATGTGGCCCTAGATTAGATTGGTTAAATTGGAATTGTAAGCCGCTCAGAGCCCCTAGGGGGTGAGCGGGATAGAAGCCGGAGGTTAAATAAATAAAATAAAATTAAAAAAAATAAAATAGCCCTGCCTGGAGACTTTGGGGGTGGATCCGGGAGAGGGCGGGGTTTGGGGGGGGGACATGGGACTTCAGCATGGGACGATGCCACAGAGTCCACCTACAAAGCAGGGGAGCTGATGTCTGTCAGCTGGAGATCAGTTGTAAAAGCAGGAGATCCCCAGGCCCCACCTGGAGGCTGGCAGCCCTAACCAATGTTCCCTCTAAGCTGTGGAGTCTTGTGAGCAAAAATTCTTTGTGAGCTGCTGGCATTAAAGCTTCGCGTAAGCTGCGAGCGAGCGATTTGGTCGCTGCATCACGTAGTTTGCTCTGGAGCCATCCCTTCCTGAACTAAGGCGAAAATCTGTGAGCTGGAGGCGAAAAAACTGTGAGCTGGCTCACACTCACTCGGCTTAGAGGGAACACTGCTCTGGAGCCAATGCTCCCTCGAAGCCATGGAGTCCTGTGAGCAAAAATTCCACTTTGTGAGCGACTGGCATTAAAATTGTGAGCAAGAGATTTGGCTGCTGTGTAAATTAGTTGGCTCTGGAGCCTTCCTTCCTGAGCGGAGACAACAATGTGTGAGCCGGAGGCTAAAAAACCGTGAGCTGGCTCACACTGACTCAGCTTAGAGGGAACCCTGAGTAGCCAACTCCGGCCTGGGGAAAATAGCTTGAGATTTGGGGGTGCCGTAGGGCCTGGGTGGAGGCAGGGTTTGAGGAGGGGAAGGACCTCATTGGGGGGGTGTAATGCCATGCCCCCCCCCCCGTCCTCCAGAGCATCCCTTTTCTCCTGGGGAGCTGATCTCTGTCACCTAGAGATCAGCTCTAATCCCAGATCACCAGCCCCGACCTGGAGGTTGGCAACTGGAAATGCCAGCCTCCAGGTGGGACCTGGGCAGTGTTCCCCCTAAGCCCAGTTAGTGTGCGCTAGCTCACAGTTTTTTAGCCTCCGGCTCACAGATTTTTGTCTCAGCTCAGGAAGGAGGGCTCCCGAGCAAACTGGTTTATGCAGGAGCCACATCGCTCGCTCACAGCTTTAATGCCAGCAGCTCACAAAGTAGGATTTTTGCTCAGAAGACTTCCTGAGCTGAGACAAAAATGTGTGAGCCGGAGGCTAAAAACCTGTGAGCTGGCTCACACTAACTCAGCTTAGAGGGAACACTGATGGTCAGCTATGGTAGTCTGAGAGCAGCAGAACACATTTAGAGTCCAGTGTGGCACCCTGCAGGGCTCTTTTTGTAGAAAAAGCCCAGCAGGAACTCATTAGGATATTAGGCCACGCCTTGACAGCACCCCTTAGTAGCACATTAGGCCACACCCCCATGTTACCTAGGGTTGCCAAATGTGCTTACCTGTCCCGGCGGGGGACTTTGGGTCGTCTCCTGGTGCGCGCCATTTGAGGGAAAAACTCTGTTTTCCCCTCAAATGGCTATGCCCCGCCCCAGCGTGATGACGTCACAGGGAAGCGATGTCACAGGGAAGCGACGTTTCCCCCGGGCCCCGATTCCGCGGGAGTGGATATCGGGGATCCAAAGCGGGGGGAATTCCGCCCCCCGGGGGGAATTGGCAGCCCTAATGTTACCAGAAGTGTGGTCATCCAGCCACACGCACCTTTTGCTTCTTATTCTGTTTACCTTGTCTGTTGTCAAAACCCAGGGCCTTTTTTTGGAGCAGGAACTCCTTTGCATGTTAGGCCACACACCCCTGATGTAGCCAATCCTAATGAGTTCCTGCTGTTGGGTGTGGCCTGTTATGCTAATGAGTTCCTGCTGGGTGTGGCCAACTCAGGAGCCAGCCGGAACTCCGTTCCTGTGCGTTCCTGCCCAAAAATAGCCCTGCCCTTAAGACCAACAAAGCTTTATTCAAGGAATGAGCTTTCTTTCGTGTGCGCACACACTTTCCCCAAATACATTGGAAAGAAAGTCTAGAAGGTTCAGGGGTCGTTTCGTAGGAAAAGAGCTAGGGGGACTCATTAGCATAACTCATTAGCATATGCCACACCCCCTGACATCACCGGAAGTGTGTCATAAGGCCACACCCCCTGACATCACTGGAAGTGTGTCATAAGGCCACACACACCACCCCCACCGGTCCCGGCCACCACCGCCGGCCTTGCAGCTCCACTGCCGAGCCCCATGAGGGGCCCGGCGGTGGACCTGCAAGGTCGGCGGGGGCGCAAAGAAGCGCCGCGCACG